TTAGTGAATTCTTCTCTAGCTCTTAGGCTACACTCTATTTCAGATTATCTACGGTCAAAATCAAATGTTCCTGCTAACAGGATTGATAATACAATAAATTTTCCCATCAATCCCGTAACTTTTCTCTAGAAGTACTCCGCTATATATATATATGTCAGCAGAAGACCAGATTAATGACACAAACCAAACGCATATGAAATATGTAGGGTATTCCATTAACGATATAAGTGATTCACCAACCAAATCTAAAAGGTCCAGTAAATGGAAAACACTTATTGTCTGGGACTCTATTCTGAAAGGATGCTGATTTGCTATTACCTGTCCAGGAAAGCAGACAATTGATGTGTGTATTCGTCTGCGTAAATATGATCTGCGTGAATACAAAAAAGTTGTTATTTACGTTGGTGGAAGCGATGCGGCAAACGACGGTTCAGTTGATAAAGTACATTGTATACGCATAACTAAATATATATATTCTCTTATTTAAATGTATTATCAAATCTAATATTTTTCCTACAACACTGGCAACACTTGTGACAAATTTAAAAACCTTAAATCTCAAATCTTCATATTATATGTCAAACAATGGTTCAATATAGATCATATAGTAATACAAACAGTTTGTCCGCTAAATGTGAAACTGTATAAATGAACCTGTAAGTAATTTTGTAAAAATTGCTTTTCATACTAAGGGTTACATATAAGTTTTTAAATGTACAACATCTTATGCCCAATGATTATAGGTCAATATCTATTCTCCCAACCATTTCAAAAATATCTGTATCTACTACATAATAATTCTTTTATTAATCTCAACCTCAATGAGATATATTTTCTCCTCTGTAAAACAAATAATAGTTATTTCATTAAACACATGTTCAGTATAGGATATATATTTTCACTGAAACAAAGATATGTATTGTCTGAGCTATCTGAAAACAATTTAAACCACATATCATAACATTGGTTTTTCATTATGAATAAATAAATAAACACACGCATCAAAATCAATGTCAGCATGCATGATATTTGGTATCCCATTGTTGCTGAATTCATCATAAGATGTAATACACACCCTGATGTAAGAAGTGGCTAGTTTTATTTTATAGTACTATATAAATCATCAGAAATAACGTGAATGTTCTAAAATAGTTCTCATTAAACACCTGAAAAAAAGCAAAAACAATACAAACACAACAAATATAGAAAATACCACATATTATGATTAATCTAACCAAATTCACAATCTTTCATGTTCCAGCATTTCAAAATCCATATACTTGTACAGTCAATTATATCCTGGTTGGCTGTAGCGTGAAAAGTTGTATTTCTTGCACCTGATCTTATTATTAATATTCTTATGTTAGCATCTTATTTCAAGCGTCATGCCAAGTTAAAAATCTATCTCGGTATGCCAACATTATGGGCATATATGTCTGTGGCTATTATTTAAGTTTTGACGGGAGTGTTTCGCAGCTGAATCTTATATTATTTTGAACATGATGCATGATTTACTTGCTTCTTTGCAAAACATTTTTACTTACATTTCCCATGTTTTTCGTAAAATGGAACGACAGTGTTTTCTTACTTCCGTATACAATATTGGACTATACAACTGTCTGATTTCTTAACTAAACTAGAAATACCACAAACACAAAAACAATGTTATGTAAATTTAACAAGGCAATCCGGCGTTCCATGTTATCCGGCTTTCCAAGTTATCCGGCGTTCCATGTTTTGCGTCACGTTCCTCCTTTATGTTAGATATTTCAAAATCGGCTGTGTATGTGGTATAAATAAATGTAGTAATGCTGAGTGTGTCACGTACAGTTTTAATATATTTGAAATGTTGCTATTTTTGGTTCAGAACACGAAACAAGTTTGCCAATAATGTCCATGCCATATAGAATACGTTTTCACAATTCATGTAAATATAGCACAGCTCTAATAATACAGCTACTCTGATTATATAAATTGAGTATCCAGTGTCTAGAATTACATAATAACTTTAATACTACAGATTCCAACATTAGTTAATATTATCCATTTTTTCATGCTTTAAAGATTCGAAAATAAATATAGAATTAAACGAATATTACAATTTTACATTAGTAAACTGTTAACATTAAAAAACAACTAAATAAATTAAACTTAGAAAATACCCTTTACGAATCGTAGGACAATGCATTATTTTAATTGAGAAGCTATTAAAAGTCCTTACGAACGTCATTGTCCTTCTACGTACGTGATTTTTAATAATTTACGTGGTGCACCGAGTCTTATTCCCAGTACAGAGTCTTGGATGTCGCCGCTTATAGAGACCTACTTCTATGTTGCGCCGCTGCGAGCGTAACATCCTCAACCCCCATGACTAAATGATGGTAAACTCGAAAAATTTAGAAAGATGAATAGTCCATCAAGATCCTTAATTAATAAAAATTGACGATCTAATCTTTATTATCACATACCGTTGTGGCCTTGCTTTTCGTATGAACTGGTTTTTGGCCATGAACTATGACAATATAACAGGACGTCATTTGCGTTGATACGAACCACATTATCACAGGCACATAAAACAAGTATGACACTTTTCACTTCGGTTTCATTTATTTAGGTTTCACCTATTTTTCGATATATGTTATTAATATTTTTTATGTAAACAACATAGGGCTCAGGACAGTACTTTCGCAAAAACGACTGCCCCCCAAGGAGCAACTTGGTATGTGAAATATATCTCCAATAATTAATGCATATAAAACGTTTTTGAAACGTTCATGTTTTGCAAAATTAAAATAATTCTGTTATATACATTGAATGAAAAGTAGAAAAAAAACTTTAAACTCAAAGTTTCCCAAGAAGTTATATATTATCCTTTTATAATTTCATAGCGGACTTAAAAAGACGTAAACTGATAACCCGCTTGGTTTGCGTTAGTATTGTATATAAACCAATTCAGGACATATCTGTGAAAATTAGCCTCCTTATCAATAACATAAGGCAATGGCATGTTTTTAAGTCTGCCCTTTTATAACAGGGCGGACAACTCTTTGTCCCTTCCTCGTAAGAGAAGGAAATCTTGTGATGCGTGTATGTGGTCGCACGGTCACTTTCCTTCAAACATGTCCTCGATGCATGTATGTGGTCGCATGGTCGAAAATCTCTAATATAATGACGACGTTAACAAACGCGTTTTGAATCATAATTATGGGAAACAAAAATTATTAGGAGATGAGAAATAAAACCTTATTTAGGAGGAGCTTCAAAAGACTAAATACAGAATAGAAAAGTTTTTATGCAAAGTTCTTTTGAACGCTTACGCCATTTGCAATGTTTTCAGGGGTGGTCACTCTAACCTTCTCTTTTTTTAGCGCAACAGTAACCTCTCTTTTGAACCCTTACGCCATTTGCAATGTGATCAGGGAAATCACCGTAATTGACTTGTTTGTGTCCAACAGTTATCTCCCTTTGAATTCCTACGCCATTTGCAATGTGATCAGGGGAAGTCACTCTAATCAGTTCTTATTTTGAGCGCAACAGTTACCTCGCTTTGAACCCTTAAGCCATTTGCAATGTTTTCAGGACCGACTCTTTTATAAAACGCATTTTGAAACCTTTCGCAATTTGAAATGTTATCAGGGGAGGTCCCTCTAATCGACTCTTTATTTGAGCGCAATAGTTACCTCCCTTTGAACCCTCCCACCATTTGCAATGTATTCAGAGGAGGTCATTCTAACTGAATCTTTTTTTAAACAAACGCAACAATGACCACCCTTTTGAACCCTTACTCCATTTCCAATTTTATAAGGGGAGGTCACTCTAACCAACTCTTTTTTAACGTAACAGTCTCCTTCAATTTGAACCCTTACGCCATTTGCAGTGTTATCAGGAGAGGTCACTCTAATTGACTCATTTTGTAGTGCAACAGTCACCTCCCTGTGGAACTCTTACCCATTTTCTTGTTTTCAGAGGAAGTCACTCTAACCGACTCTATTTGAAGGGCAACAGTAACCTCCCTTTTTAACCTTACGCCATTTGCAATGTTATCAGGAGAGGTCACTTTAAACGACTTGATTTGTAGCGTAACAGTCACCTCCCTGTGGAACTCAATGTTATCAGGGGAAGGCACTATAACTGACACGATTTGTAGTGCAAGTCACCTTCCTGTGGAACCCTAACCTAATAATATCAAGAAGTCACTGTAACTGACTTTATTTTAAGCACGCCATTTGCAATGTTTTCAGGGGAGGTCACTCTAACCGACTCGATTTGTAGGGCAACAATAACCTCCCTTTTGATTTTTATGCCATTTGCAATGTCATCAGGGGAAGTAACTCTTACCGACTCTATTTTGAGCGCAATTGTAACCTCCCTTTTCATTGGTCATTTTAAAACAACAATCAGAAATCTCGGAATCTATTTGGCCATTGTAAAATTAATGGTACACGCGTCTAATTTTTGATTGATCTTAAGGAGTCTGGAAACGAAATATTTTTTTGTATACATTGCTTGAAATGTATACAGAGTTATAATCTAAATATCCATATTCGTTACAGGTTCATCCTTTACCAAACAAGATCCACTTCGATCCGGATAAAAACCGCTATAGATTCTGCAGTATTGTTACATTCCGATTACACACCATTAAAATATTATATTATATTTGCAAAGTTGTTTTAATTATTTGAAAGTTCCAAATCATTCATTTTCATTAAATAATACGTTTCTTCTTCTTTACTTTTAAAGGATTTACTTCAGACTTACGATATTGTTTCTATTAAAATAATTCACATGCTGGCTGTAATTAAAATCCGTGATTTATTGAGGTCGTCGGATAAAACAATTTTATTCAACTTGATTGATAAATTCAGTATTGAAACTTCACTCATATCATATCCTTTATAATTATAGCTTTCTAATAAAAAGAATATGTGTTGCACAACCTTTATGAAACGTACAAAGTGTTATTCTTATGGCTATCTCGACTTACCTCCCTTTTATCAAGAAAAATATACCTGAACACCGCTACAGGTGCGAGACCAAAAACAACAGGTGTGCAAACTAGGACATTATCCTCTTCGAAAATGATCATTATCAATTCCATGAAAAACTAATAAAAACAATATAGGACAATGGAAGAAGCACATAAAAGGTGTTATATAGGTTCGCACATATTTTGGTTAATTGTATGTTTTACGAATAGTTCTTGGAACAGTGTTGACTATATGACAGAAATGGTGACTCATTTTACCTTTGACATGTTCTGTGTGGTATGATTCTTACTCTTTTGATTGTAACATGTATATAACATGTATAATATCTAGTACTGTCGGGTAAAAGTCAAGACTGATTGCATGTTTATATATCTGTAAAAATTCAGTTGGCAAACAACAGTTTTTCATGTGACAAAAAAAAAGAAGAAAAAAGTGCACCTGTAGAAGTGCTTACAGTGCCCTCAATCCAATTTTGGGGAAGAAGGTCGCTACCCTCAGCAGGGGGAATTTGAGTATGTGGGAGGAATTATTTGCATTTCATTTTTGGTCAAATTTCAATAACCTTTCACTTTAATATCAGTGTTTTATTCATAGTATACACATTTTATTTTAACAATTTTATGTTAAAGGCATATTGTGCCTCAGAAATCCGTTTTTTCTAATTATAACATGTCAAACATGTGATTCACAAGGTTTTGCCGCAATCTGGTCGTTTTTGCATGTCGAAAACATCATAACTTTTTATTTTTTTCTTTAAAATTTCAGATATTTTGAGGGAGTTTTTACCTCAGTCAGGGGGAAAAACATAACCATAAGTTAAATCTTAAGTCATTTTCACAAAGCCGCTTGTAAGTTAAATTTTATCTTACGATAAAAACATCCATAGCAACGTTCATTTCGTTTGATATTGATGTGCCTGCTCTATATTTGTTTCCGGTTTTAAAATCAAGTAATTAAGAGCTTGAAATATGTATTGAACACAATCAAGTTACAATAAGAAGAAAAAAATGATTCACACTGATATATTTACTATCTTGATTGAAAATAATTGTATGGATCTAAGTAATTCAGAAACAAAGTTTGCTACATTATTGCTAAGGTATTAATAAATAAAAAGGTGCCACTAGTACAGGCTGGCAATGAAATCGAACCCACCAAATTGTACATTAACATTAGTTATCAAGGATAATTCTAAATAGTTCACATATAAAAATTATTCATAACCCTCTCCACCATGACGTCATCAAGTCATGACGTCACAAATGTTATGTTGAAAATTAATTATTACTTAATTTACAAGTGTTATTTATAACATACTCGTATACTGTTTGCTTATTAATATATATTTGTTCACTTTTTGTTTGTTTTTATTATGTTTAAATAAAAGATACATGATATTTTACTCTTAAGAGAAAAAAATATCACACTTATGAACGGGGAACACCTATCGTAAAGTTACAATAGATTTTGCACTTAAGTTTTTTTGTGAAAAGGAGATTTATCGTAAGATTTCACTTACGATAAATATGTGTTGTTTTTTTGTGAAAATGGCTGCATAAAACCATAAATCTATGTAAAGTAGTAAAGTATGCAGACACTTTCTTTAGCAAATATAGATAGATAAAGATTCACAATCACCCAGTATTCTAATACTAGAATAACTACATGTAGCTAAGTCAATCTTTACAATTTTTATTCAAGAATATTTGTTATTTAGACTTGTTGACATGTTTGTTTGTACACAATTAGAGTCCAGTAAGATAGACAATGAAACTTTCAAAAAACTTGTAGGTGTCAGCATCTTAGAAGAATTGATATTATCTGCATACAAAGACGAAATTCCAGAAATTGCTTGAATATTTGCTTAAATATAATCTAACCATCGTTTTCTATAAAATTTGTTTGTCTTTTTGATAGAAAGTTTGGTTAAAATGTCAAAAGGATGCAAGTGACATTTGCAGTTCACTTTTATTATGTGCATAGAAGGTGAAATCAAGTTTATTTCATTTCAGGAGGTAAAATGGAATTAAGAAACGTTTTAATGTAGGAGACCTGTTAATACATAAGACAGATCCATCTTCTCAGGCTGAACCAAGGCCATTTGTTCTGTCATATGAAATAATTCCAGTCACATACAGAGAAAATTCATGGTAACTATCCATTCTTTGTGGCCACTAAGATGCTATATTTACATTTATCATTTAAAGTAGCGTGTCTCCAGATAAGTGCTAATTTTCATGAAAATTTTGAAAATGTATTCAAAAGTAAAATATTGTGAAGGGTACAAAGAAAGTAATTTACACATTGCCAAACGTGCGATACAATATATATTATAAATTACAAAAAAAGAGCTCAAAATATGCAAAAATAGTCCTTACAACATTGTACTATATCATTTCCAGATAATGTTATTATACCCCCGCACAACAAAGTTGTAAGGGGGGTATACTGGTTATACCCCCGCACAACAAAGTTGTAAGGGGGGTATACTGGAATCAGCTTGTCCGGCCGTCCGTCCGTCAGTTTTTTCTTGTCCGCCCAATAACTTAAGATTCCTTTGACCCACAGTCTTCATATTTGGCATGGAGGTTAGTCATGATTAGTAGATGACCCCTATTGATTTTGAGGTCACTAGGTCAAAGGTCAAGGTCACAGGGGCCTTCACTTCAAAAAGCTTGTCCGCCCAATAACTTAAGATTCCTTTGACCCACAGTCTTCATATTTGGCATGGAGGTAAGTCATGATTAGTAGATGACCCCTATTGATTTTGAGGTCACCAGGTCAAAGGTCAAGGTCACAGGGGCCTTCACTTCAAAAAGCTTGTCCGCCCAATAACTTAAGATTCCTTTGACCCACAGTCTTCATATTTGGCATGGAGGTTAGTCATGATTAGTAGATGACCCCTATTGATTTTGAGGTCACCAGGTCAAAGGTCAAGGTCACAGGGGCCTTCACTTCAAAAAGCATGTCCGCCCAATAACTTAAGATTCCTTTGACCCACAGTCTTCATATTTGGCATGGAGGCTAGTCATGATAAGTAGATGACCCCTATTGATTTTGAGGTCACCAGGTCAAAGGTCAAGGTCACAGGGCCTTCACTTCAAAAAGCATGTCCGCCCAATAACTTAAGATTCCTTTGACCCACAGTCTTCATATTTGGCATGGAGGCTAGTCATGATAAGTAGATGACCCCTATTGACTTTGAGGTCACCAGGTCAAAGGTCAAGGTCACAGGGGCCTTGACTTCAAAAAGCTTATCCGCCCAATAACTTAAGATTCCTTTGACCCACAGTCTTCATATTTGGCATTCAGGTTAGTCATGATTAGTAGATGACCCCTATTGATTTTGAGGTCACTGGATCAAAGGTCAAGGTCATAGGGACTTTGACTTCAAAAAGTTTGTCCACCCATTAACTTAAGATTCCTTTGACCCACAGTCTTCATATTTGGCATGGATGTTGATCATGACTATAAGGTGACCCCTATTGATTTTGAGGTCACTGTGTCAAAGGTCAAGGTCACAGGGACCTTGACAAAAGCTTTTCTTCTCAATTGCTAAAGAATGTCCTGTCTGCAATGTATTGATTTTGACATTTTCACATTTGAAGCATGTAGAATACATAACTTAGCAATGCACTGGCTTAGTAACCTCAGATTTGGCAGGGAGGTTGTCCTTGAGCTCTAAATGGCCACTGTTGATTCTGACAAAGTGGTATGCGGGGGTATTCACGCCATGATAGTGGCAGTTCTAGTTTTATTTACACTCATAATGGGTTATAGCCAGCTTTCTACAATGTTTTGATATTGAGACCTCATAAAAACTGGTCTCCTATAATCTCATACATGGTAGTCCATGGACTTTCTTTATGAAATTCATAATTGTTTAAAATATAAGAATGAATATAAGAATCACATTTAAGTTTTTATTTCAGAATAAGAAAGGCAATGATGTTGAGATATTGTATTGTAATAGCAAATCTGATTGGAGTGACATTAGGATGGCATTTATTAATGAAGGTGCCCCAGGGTACACTGGGGGGTGCTTCCAGTGTGTATGACCTTTGGACATCAAATATGACCTTGAACCCTGATGCAGATAATGTGATGAGTATACAGCCTGGAATTCCATATAAATCTGCAGATGCCCTCAACTGGCAGACCAAAGATATAAGTCTGGTATGTGATTTTTATGTAACCTTACATGTATGAACATTAAGATTTGTAGCTATTATAACATCCCCCCTTTAAGCTATCTAAACTTTGTGTAATAAGAAAATTTAAAAGGCTTTAAAGACTACAATTTCCATATGAAATAGATGAGCTAAGCAAGGAATTTATCCGTGTTTAGACAAGTGTCATAATTATTGTATAAGACTTGTTAAGTATTCAATAAAGTGTAGAATTCTATTGTATTTAATTTTTCTCATAATTTTTCCTCAAGAAGACTTTAAAATGTCGGTAATATTACTATATGTATCATGTTTACGAAAATATTTGAAATATTATAAGACCATTTATATAAATATATAAGTATATTTACAATGTATACTTCAATGTAATTCTAACATTGAAATATTGTGTGACTGTTTGTAGCAATATCTCATTATGTTTATTTGTTTTAAGTACTTTGTACATAAATGTTACAATGCTTTATTTGTAAGTTCCTCTGTACAAACATAATTTAACATTTCATGATGGTTTAAGAAGTATACAAATAAAACAAACGTAAATAGCTAATAAAGATAACCTCGTATTCAAAGTATCCTTAAAGTGAATGAGTCTACAACAGGCACATTTTTCTGTGTACACTGAGTTTTTAAAACATCACAACAACCATTCTTATTTCAGTATGGTAATCTTTGAAAATTATGAAAATGAGGTAAACAGTAAATTAAAAAAAGAAACAATCAGTTGACAGTAAACATTAAAAAGCAGTTATTTTAAGCCATATACTTAATGATAAGGTGTAGATACCAAACTGGTGGAGAATGTTCTTGATTGAGAGTGATTTTCAAGATTTAATTAGGAATTTCTGACAGTTTTGTCTTATTTTTTTTTTATTTTACTTTTTTTTAGCTCACCTGTCACAAAGTGACATGGCGAGCTTTTGTGATCACTTTTCATTCGGCGTCTGTCCGTCGTCCGTAAAGTTTTACTTTAAACAACATCTCCTCATAAACCGCTAAGCCAATTTCATTCAAACTTCACAGGAATGGTCCTTTGGAGGTCACCTTTAAAAATTGTTCAAAGAATTTAATTTCATGTAAAACTCTTGTTGCCATGGCAACCAGAAGAAAAAACTTAAAATATCATCTTTTTAAAAAACCCAAAGAGGTAGAGCTTAAATATTTGGCATGAAACATCTTCTAGTGAGTGTCTATCAACTTTGTTCAAATAAAAGCCTTGTGTCAAAATTGGCCCCGCCCCTGGGGGGGTCATTGATTTTCCTTATATGTATATAGTAAACACTTAAAAAAATCTTCTTTTAAAAAATCGAAAGAGCTAGAGCTTAAATATTTGGTATGAAACATCTTCTAGTGAGAGTCTATCAAGTTTGTTCAAATAAAAGCCCTGGGGTCAAAATTAGTACCACCCGTGGGGTCATTGTCATTGTCTATAGTGAAGACTTCAAAAATCTTCTTTTAAAAACCCCAAAGAGTTAGATATTAAGCATGAAACATCTTTTGGTGAGTGTCTACCAAGTTTGTTCAAATATAAGCCCTGGGATCAAAATTGACCCGCCCCGGGGGGTACTGATTTTCCTTATATATCTATAGTGAAAACTTAAAAAAATCTTCTTTTAAATAACCCATAGAGCTAGAGCTTAGATATTAAGCATGAAACATTTTCTATTGAGTGTCTACCAAATTTGTTCAAATAAAAGTCTGAGGGTTAAATTGGCCCCACACCGGGGGTCTGATTTTCCTTATATGTCAATAGTAAGCTAGAGCTCAGATATTTAAAATGAAACATCTTCTAATTGGTGTCTACCAAGTTGGTTTTAAAAAAAGCCCCGCCCCAAGGGTCTATATACGGGTGAGCGATTTCAGGGCCATTATGGCCCTCTTGTTTTGTTTTTTTTTTTGGGGGGGGGTGGAGATGGGTAAAAACCCTCTATCCTGCCCTATTTTATGTAAAAAAGTCACTGTGGACCCATGCAACCAGTACAGACCAAGATTAGCCAGCAAATCTGTGCCATCTGACCATGGTTTGCACTTTTCTGTATATTCAGTCAGTACATATTTTTATTTTGCTAAAATATTATTATAAATGGATTTGACATTTGACTCTCAGTGGAAATGTAAAGTGGACACTTGTCCCAAATGGAAATGACTAAAGGTGGACACTTGTCGCAAGTGGAAATGACTAAAGGTGGACACTTGTCCCAAGTGGAAATGACTAAAGGTGGACACTTGTGGCAAGTTGAAATGACTAAAGGTGGACACTTGCCCCAAATGGAAATGACTAAAGGTGGACACTTGTCCTAAGTGGAAATGACTAAAGGTGGACACTTGCCCCAAATGGAAATGACTTTAGGTGGACACTTGTCTTAAGTGGAAATTACTAAAGGTGGACACTTGTGGCCAGTGAAAATGACTAAAGGTGGACACTTGCCCCAAATGGAAATGAGAAAAATGGACACTTGTCCCAAGTGAAAATGACTTAAGGTGGACACTTGTGGCAAGTTGAAATGACTAAAGGTGGACACTTGCCCCAAATGGAAATGACTAAGGGTGGACACTTGTTGCAAGTGGAAATGACTAAAGGTGGACACTTGTCCCTACTAGTGGAAATGACTAAATGTGGACATATACATAGGGGTCCATATACATAGACTTAGTTTGATTCATGTCTTTTAAATTAAAGTAAAGTTTTGACTTTAGTTTGGTTATGATGGAAGCTTAATTGAATCACCCTAGTTTATTTCTTTCAATTTATGTTTCTGTAATTTAAATTTCATGATGATCATCCTGGCTAATGATGCAGTGCATGTGTCATAAATAATTTAATGTTCACAACTGCATGTATATAATAATACATGTATATAATGTTGCTGATGGTTATGATGCATTCAAATACCATCAATATTTAATTCTTACTTTGCTATATAGGGTACTTACACTTAGTATCAAAATAATTATTATTATTACCCCTCACTTTTTGTGTAATGTTAATTATCCATAGGCCCATACTGTCAATACAATTGAACAGATTATATTGTTACAAATATTTTAAAGTTTGAACTGAAATTGTATAGTTGTCAATATTATTTCAGGTGAAGATAGCATTTTACAGTGGTGTAGATGAAGTGGCATATATTGTGTTTGGAGCAGCAGGCCCCTCCTACAATCACACCGATTGGCCAGTGTTTCCTAGTGCTACAAACATTACAAGTTGGTTTGACTGTACAAGGATTCTATATAGCACTTTTTCTGATCAGCATCTTACGTCAGTGCCAGAATTTTGCAGCTTACATAGGTAAGAAGAAGTACATTGTATATGTTTTTGGGATGCCTTCTCCATGGGTCAGTTATAAATTGTATCTTGTTTGGGATGCCTTCTCCATGGGTCAGTTATAAATTGTATCTTGTTCGGGATGCCTTCACCATGGGTCAGTCATAAATTGTATCTTGTTCGGGATGCCTTCTCCATGGGTCAGCTATAAATTGTATCTTGTTTGGGATGCCTTCTCCATGGGTCAGTTATAAATTGTATCTTGTTTGGGATGCCTTCTCCATGGGTCAGCTATAAATTGTATCTTGTTTGGGATGCCTTCTACATGGGTCAGTTATAAATTGTATCTTGTTTGGGATGCCTTCTCCATGGGTCAGTTATAAATTGTATCTTGTTTGGGATGCCTTCTCCATGGGTCAGTTATAAATTGTATCTTGTTTGGGATGCCTTCTCCATGGGTCAGTTATAAATTGTATCTTGTTTGGGATGCCTTCTCCATGGGTCAGTTATAAATTGTATCTTGTTTGGGATGCCTTCTCCATGGGTCAGTTAAAAATTGTATCTTGTATGGGATGCCTTCTCCATGGGTCAGTTATAAATTGTATCTTGTTTGGGATGCTTTCTCCATGGGTCAGCTATAAAATGCATCTCGTATTTGATACAAAACTAATTATCACATTATCTAGGCAGTTATTAAACGCTGTATCAAATTCATTTATCGAACAGGATTGTTAAATTTAGGCATTTATTACCTTTAAGGGACTGGTACCATAAGCCTTCACTGAGTGTTAAGTCTCTAAGCATTATATTGTTATGTTTGCTATATATGTATTGATTGTTCATAAGATATTTATTCCTTATATTGGTTATAAGAAACCTCATGTATATAGCATACAAAATGTCAAGGTCTCAATTCACTGTTTAACTGAGTTTCACTGCAATTTCAATAGCAAACAAACTTATTATGATAACAGATTTACACTAATGTACTATCATTTGTTGAGATATCACTTTACTTCATTAGAATTCCATTTCTTCTGTCTTTCTTCTCCCTGAATCTTGCTTATGCAATACAAACTGTTCTCCCCCATTATGAATTATTCTTACAATATTGTGAAGGGTCTCATTTTTTTATTATTTATAAAGTAAGGAGAAAATGTATACTAAATGACTTTGGGAATAAAATTCATGAAATGAGGAAACTGAATTATACACTTGAAATGTAAATAACAGCACTTTTTATGAACCACCAATATAACAAGATGTTTTTTTTTTGCTTACAATAACTCACTGTTTTATGGCTTATTATATTGATATAAACTTAATTTTAGGACAAGTATTTTTAGCTCACCTGTCACAAAGTAAAAACTTAAAAAATCTTCTTTTAAAAAAACAAAAATAGCTAGAGCTTAGATATTAAGCATGAAACATCCTCTAGTAGATGTCTACCAAGTTTGTTCAAATAAAAGCCCTGGGGTCAAAATTGGCCCCACCCCAGGGAGTCATTGATTTTCCTTATTTGTATATTGTAAAAACTTAAAAAATCCTCTTTTAAAGGGACTTCACTGAGGTTTAAAAGCATAAAAAACATAACATTTGAATTTCTTACATAATTGAGCTAGAGCACTTTAAACAGAAATAAATGCAAAGATAGTTAAGAAATATACTTTGAAATAAATTGAAAATCGAATTTTTATGATTTTCTTAACCCGATTTGAGTGAATAGCGTTTTGGGTCATTTCTTTACAATTTGAATAATTATTCTGGTAAAACGAAGTGAGCGAATGATCTGAAATTTTGCACAAAGATTAGTGGTCTAAACCTACATCAAATAGCTCATTTATCTGGAAAAAATATTTTCAGTCCCATTATGACAAGTAACCTCAGTGGAGTCCCTTTAACCCTTTCACTGCCATAGGGACGGCATGTGCCGTCCCTATTATTTTCGGCGTATTTGCCATATGAAAGGCTTTTGCCGTTTCTATAATAATAATATTAATAATTATAATAATAATTATAATAATAATGATAAATATATAGATAATTATACCATTGACAATAATTATTATATACTAGCAGATTTGGAAACATATATAATTATTATAATACTAATAACAAATAACAATAATTATATTAATTAATAATATAGTAATTTCTTAGAAAACCTTCTGGCAAATAGGTGATCAATAAATAAATAACCCTGTTAATTGCAAGTGCCGAAAGTAGTCCGCTTTTTTGAAGCGGTTACTTCCCTTTATATGTAAACAAACGCCGAAAAATTCAGGGGAGATCACTGCGTAAAGATGGTCAAATGACAGGCGCATTAATTTTCAAGCAAAATAATTCCTGAATGGTCGAAAATTTCTAATATTGTTTTATTCTTTATAGATATACATGCTTATAGTAAGCTCCATGATTATATACATCTGTGTTAAACAACAGTTAGCGTCGTTACAAACCCTAATATAGAATAATATACTTTTCTTCAGGCTGTTACAAATAAATTCACAGTGGCCGAGGGGTTTGCGCGCTCGCTTAGGAAGCGAGAGGTCTGGAGTTCAAATCCCAGTTAAGGCAATCTTTTTTTTTTCAAATTGTTTAAGTCAAATAAACATTGGATTGAATATCAGTGTTGAAATTAGTCTTATAGCCAATTTCTTACAATTAAAACGCTTGAAAGCATTGGTGGCACTTTACAAAAACAAATTGGTTTATAATCTCACAACCTTCACCTTTCTGACATTCTGAGACCCAAACAAATTCAGCGCCTTCTGTGCTTTGATTGTATAGTGCCACCAGTGCTTTCCAGCGTTTTAATTGTAGTTAATTGGCTTTAAGACTAATTGCAACACTGATATTCAATTCAATGTTTGTTTGATTTAAACAATTTGAAAAAAAAAGAGTTGCCTTTCTGGATTTGAACTCCAGACCCCTCGGCCACGGTGAAGTTATGTGAAAGGCCTGAAGAAAACCATATTATTCTAAATTAGGGTTTGTAACCCTTATTATTTCGACGATAACTGTTGTTTAACACAGATGTTAATAATCATGGAGCTTATTATAAGCATGTATATCTATAAAGGATAAAACAATATTAGAAATCTTCGACCATTTGGGAATTATTTTGCTTGAAAATTAATGCGCCTGTCATTTGACCATCTTTACGCAGTGATCTCCCCTGAATTTTTTCGTCGTTAGTGTACATATAAAGGGAAGTAACCGCTTCAAAAAAGCGGCCTACTTTCGGCATTTGCAATTAACAGCATCAGACTCTGAAATTTCGCTACCATTATTTGTTTGGTCTGACGACCCAAACAAATAAAAACCAAAATAGCTAGAGCTTAGATATTAAGCATGAAACATCTTCTAATAGGTGTCTACCAAGTTTGTTCAAATAAAAGCCCAGGGATAAAAATTGGCCCCACCCCAAAACCAAAGTAGCTAGAGCTTAGATATTAAGCATGAACAATCTTCTAATGGGTGTCTACCAAGTTTGTTCAAATAAAAGCCCTTGGGTTAAAATTGGACCCTCCGAGGGGGTCATTGTTTTTCCCTTTATGTATATAGTAAAAACTTAAAACTTAAAATATCTTTTTTTAAGATATTAAGCATGAAACATCTTCAAGTGGGTGTCTACCAAGTTTGTTCAAATAAAAGCCCTGGGGTTTAAATTTGCCCCGCTCGGTGTGGGGGGGGGGTAATTGTTTTTCCCTATTTGTATATAGTAAAAACTTAAAAAATCTTCTTATAAAAAACCCAAAGAGTTAGAGTTTAAATACTAAGCATGAAATATCTTCTAGTGAGTGTCTACCAAGCTTGTTCAAATAAGAGCCCCTGGTTTAAAGTTGGCCTTGGCCCAGGGGCCTATGTACAGGTGAGCAATTTCAGGGCTATCATGGCCCTCTTGTTTATATTTAAGCGATCTGAAGTTTAAACGATAGACATTAGAAGTACATTTGTAACTGACATCTTGTGAAGAAATTTCATGCCATTTAAGTGAAAGAAAATTCTTCTTTTTGTTCTAAATCATGATCGGTATTTATGTCAAGGATTTTAAGAAATTATTTTGATCTGTTTGAGTGATTTGAATGTATGGTAATTTTGATAATTTTCAGTGTTTCCACCCTGGATCACAGTTTTTCTATCATGAGTCAGCCAATAGAATCAGCATCCGACTGTGACAATGTTACTGGCTGGTTTACAGTTCTTGAACCAGAAAGTATTAATTCAGCCATTCAGTGTAATTGGCAACCACAAGATAGCAGTCCACCACATTTCATGTTCTCACCTGCCAACAGTTCCGTACCCTTCTCGGGTAAGTTCATACAGATATCTCATCAACCAAGATCTTTGCTTGTAACTTCACACTCTTATTTGAGAATTTTTAGCAAGTAACTGTCCTAGATCAATAAAACTGACATGGATTTTGACTGAATCATGGCCCTTTGTGCACTTAAAAAATCTTTAGTTAAATTTTGCTTGCAACACCTATCTTCAAAACTGCTAATGGTATTTACTTGAAACTGTTAAAAGGGACTGCACTGAGGTTTTTTGAAATTACAGGACTAGAAATACTTGCCGTTTGATGTAGATCTGAAAAATATTCTTGTGTGAAGATTTTCAGATCATTCCCTCATCCTGTTTTTCCAGAATAATCATTTTGATATGTGCAAAATGACCCCAAAATGAAAAGCTTACTCAAATGGGTCTAAAAATTGCACAAAAAATCAATTCTCAATTTAATTCATAGTATATTTCTTTATTGTGCTTTTCAGATGCGAAACCTGCGGATGTATTTGCGATATATGTTGGTAAGTTTTACAACTTACACATATACTCATTATAAATCATTTCCTGGCTTTTTGTTGTAATCTGACTGGAACACTATTTACTAATAAAGCATTATGTTTACTGACTTCGAGTACACAAGTTTATTGATAGAGAACTCTCTAATGACTTTAAGCACAAGTGTTGATTAAGGCAGCATTACATATATGTGAAAGGTATTTATGTACATGAGTTAATTAATTATTAAGTTGACTGAATAAAACGTTCAGCAAGAAAATGTCAACTGTCCTAGCCTTATATTCATATTTTCTTCTTCTTTTTTTATCTCCACTTTTCAAAGACCGAAGTTTATGCAGTTGAAAGCATAACATGTATTTCTATGTCAGTTTGTCTTTTCTGCAACATTTTGGCAGTTCAACCAGATTTTTTAAAGTTTTACTTGCTCGTAAATGACTTGAAATATTGTTAGAAATATAAATTGATTACTTTTAGATTTATTTATAGTGTTATATTCATATTGATTCACTTTTTTGCTGATATATTCACATGAGGCCTCCATTTTTACATGTTATTCAGATGATTGTATTGACAAGACAGTATGTCACAGTCCAAGCTGCTGGCAAGATCCGTATGGCAACTGTTTCTGTAATGGATTTAAATGTACAGGTAGGATCTTTGTTTTTATGTTGTTTATACTTGGCATCAGAATATACCATATGGCTAAGCTTTATACAAGTATGCTTCTATAACCTGAGGGTGGCCATCTTTATCATCAATCATATTCTTTATTTGTTGGTGAAAAAGGTGTAAGGCATTTGTGTTCCCTAACAGCTACCCTCTGTAAGACCACACCACCCTGAGTTGGTCATGACAGGTTCATTTCATAGAAATAGTCTTCGTCCGTCCTTCCGTCCGACATTTTTGTCGGGAGCATATCTTAAAAAGTATTTGAAGTATCAACTTGAAACTTCAAAGGTGCATATACCTCATTGAGGAGAGTACAGTGCACAAGCATGATAACTCTACCCTGCATAATTTTTGAGTTATTGCCCTTTGTTATTTTTCAAAATTAATTTTTGTCCAGAGCATAACTCAAAAAGCCTTTGAGATATCAACATGAAACTTCATAGGTGGATACATCTCACTCAGGAGGTGTGCTGTGCTCAAGAATGATAACTCTACCTTTCATAATTTTTTAGTTATTGCCCTTTGTTATTTTTTATACTAAACTTTTCACCTGAGTGGAGCATAACTCAAAAAGTGTTTGAGATGTCAACATGAAATGTCATAGGTGGATAGATCTTATTGAGGAGGAATGCTGTGCGCAAAAATGATAACGGTCCGTCCATCCGTTCGTCCGTCCGTCCCTCCGTCTGACATTTTTGTCCAGAGCATATCTCAAAAAGTATTTGAGGTATCAACTTGAAACTTCAAAGGTGCATTGACCTCATTGAGGAGGATTGAAGTGCACAAGAATGATAAATCTACCCTGCATAATTTTTGAGTTATTGCCCTTTGTTATTTTTCAAAATTAATTTTTGTCCAGAGCATAACTCAGAAAGCCTTTGAGATATCAACATGAAACTTCATAGGTGGATACATCTCACTCAGGAGGTGTGCTGTGCACAAGAATGATAACTCTACCTTTCATATTTTTTTAGTTATTGCCCTTTGTTATTTTTCATACTTAACTTTTCACCTGAGTGGAGAATAACTCAAAAAGTGTTTGAGATGTCAAAATAAAATGTCATAGGTAAATAGATCTTATTGAGGAGGAATGCTGTGCGCAAGAATGATAAGTCTTCCCTATATAATTTTTGAGTTATTGCCCTTTGTTCTTTTTCATACTATTTTGTCTGGAGCTTATCTCAAAAAGTGTTTGAGGTATCAACTTGAAACTTCATAGGTGGTTGGATCTCATTGAGGTGGAGTGCGTGCATAAGAATGATAACTCTACCCTGCATAATGTTTGAGTTATTGGCCTTGTTATTTTTCAAAATTAATTTTTGTCCAGAGCATAACTCAAAAAGTCTTTGAGATACATGAAACTTCATAAGTGCATAGATTTCACTCAGGATGTGTGCAGTGCACAAGAATGATATCTCTACCTTTCATAACTTTGAGTTATTGCCCTTTGTTATTTTTCATACTTAATTTTTCACCTGAGTGGAGCATAACTCAAAAGTGTTTGAGATGTCAACATGAAACGTCATAGGTGGATAGATCTTATTGAGGAGGAATGCTGTGCGCAAGAATGATAACTCTTCCCTATATAATTTTTGAGTTATTGCCCTTTGTTCTTTTTCATACTATTTTGTCGGAGCTTATCTCAAAAAGTATTTGAGGTATCAACTTGAAACTTCATTAGTGGATAGATCTTACTGAGGAGGGGTGCAGCACATAAGAATGATAACCTACCTTGCATTATTTTTCAGTTATTGCCCTTTGTTATTTTCAGCCATCAGTATTCACATAGGTTTCAAATCTGTAATCACTTCAGCCATCAGTTTTCATTATCAAAAGACCTCTTACATTGAATTATTCTGCTCTACTACATATACATTCTTCCAGTTAGCAAACACATTTGGCGGGGGATGGCCATGTTGACATGGCTCTTGTTATAAATTTAGATAGTTGTGTGCAATATGAGCCTGACCTAGTGGCTCTGGTTATATATGCAAACAACCATTTACATATGGCCATATTACCTGTTAGTAATCTCTATAACTAATAATATACATTAATTTGGATTGTTTATCACAGTTCATTTCCTCAAGTAAACATAGATAGTTCCTGTCGACGGTGTCAATGTTGGCAGATTGAACAACGTGCCTTAAATTGCAATAAATACAAGCTTATCTTACAGTTTATCTTATTTCATCCAGCAAGTGTGTCTTCAGTGTTCAATATTTATTAGTTTCTGGCAAATCAAAAATGAAGAATTTACTATAAATTGCATCCTTAAAGTGAGGATGCTTAAGTATAAGAAATTTCATGTTATTTTACGCTTGAGGTTTTCACCATTTTCAGAGGCGTGTTCCCATTTACCATGTCCAGAAGGCACAAAGTGTGTGACAAGTCCAAAGAATGAGTCAAATTATACATGTGAATGTTTATATGGTTATGTTGGGGACAGATGTAAAAGTATGTCATTGTTTTTTTTATTTTTTATATTGTTGGGTATAGATGTAAAACATTAAAATTGAAGTTAAGAAACATTTTTTATGGTAATTACAAAAACTAACCTGGATCTGTGATTTTATTTTGATTTTTTTCAATGTGATATATATTAGATTGATACATATATAATTTCTCTTAATTATTGTATAAATTTGAGTGAGAATATTGATCAGTTCTTGTGATAGCCAGTAATTAATCAAGATAATGATTCCAGTTTTATAGTTAGTAGTCAAACTTTCTCTTTTTTTGGTCAGTAACATATTGCATTTGTACCATCTGTCCATATGTCCAACATTTATCTTCTGCTAAAGTGAGATTTATGTTATATAGAGGTTATAAATTATTACATTTCTATGCAGTATACTTTTATTATAATAGAAACTGCAGATACAGATGGGCTTACAGCAGCCGCTATTGCTGGTATTGTTATTGCTATACTTCTGGCTGTTGGCCTTATTACTTTGGGGATATGGTATTTCTATAGATGGCGCAACCGTGATGATCAACTCAAACAGGAAATGACCCAAAGAGCAGGTAATAAAACATACATAGAGTTGTCTTTCATTGTAGTATATTAGTCTGCTGTTTTGAGTGTAATAAAAAGATTTTTGATTTCAGTAAGTAATATACAGTATAACCAGCAAACAATACTTCAGATGTCAAAACAAGAGGACAGTTTAAAGCAGCTATTCCACATTCAGTAGTTTGTGATTTGATAAAATATAAACTTTGCAGAAATTCAATTGATAATTATCATCAATATATGACTTCTTTTTATGCCCCCGCCATGTAATGGCCGGGGCATATAGTGTTATTATGCCCCCGCCATGTAATGGCCGGGGCATATAGTGTTACCCTGTTCCGTCATTCCGTCCTTCCGTCCTTCCATCCTTCCGTCATTCCGTCATTCTGTCATTCCGTCATCATCAGTTTCCGTTCATTATCTTAAGAACGGTTGCACACATTCAACTCAAATTTGACATATGGATATGTCATGAGAAAATACAGGTCAAGTTAGAATTTGGTCATGGTTCGATGATTTTTGGCAGAGTTATGCCCCTTTTACTTTGAAAATAATATGAAATTTTCAGTTTCCATTCATTATCTCCAAAACGGTACAACACATTTAACTCAAACTTGACATATGGATATGTCATGAGAAAATACAGGTCAAGTTCGAATTTGGTCATGGTTCGATGATTTTTGGCAGAGTTATGCCCCTTTTACTTTGAAAATAATATGAAATTTTCAGTTTCTGTTTATTATCTCCCTAATGGTACAACACATTCAACTCAAATTTGACATATGGATATGTTTTTGGAATGCCCAGGCCAAGTTCGAATTTGGTCATGGTTCAATGATTTTTGGCAGAGTAATGCCCCTTTCACTTTGAAAATAATATGAAATTTACAGTTTCTGTTCATTATCTACCCAACAGTGTTACATATTCAACTTAAATATGGATATGTCAAAGGAATAGGCAGGTCAAGTTGGAATTTGGTCATGGTTTGATGATTTTTTGGCAGAGTTATGTCCCTTTCACTTTGAAAATAATATAGATACATCTTAGGAATAAGCAGTTTAAGTTTGAATTTGGTCGTGGTTCAATGATTTTAGACAAACTTAACTTTCCTGAATGTTGGAAAAATTTTGAACTTTCAGTTTCAGCACTCATACTTTTAGCCATTATTTTGGCTACAAATATGCAATATGCTATTTTTAAAAGGTTAAGACTGAATAATTTCAGTGCCTTGAACATTGTATGAAAATGGTTTGTGTTAACATTGAAAAGTTTTAAGAGCTTTGAACTTAAAATGAAAAAAATAATTAATGCACCATCTGAAATTTTGGCTGCATGCGGGGGCATCCGTGGCATGATGACACATTTCTAGTTTAAACATTTGTCACATTTTGTGAAAACTATTTATTGTTTCCTTGACCAAAAAATGCAAAAATAGAAATAGAGATCCTTAATTCCTGATCTATAAAACGCAAAATTTTCTCAGTAGTGAATGAATTAGATTTATTCAGGGGCTTACTGGTTTTATTCTTGGACAAGGAGAAATTTCTCCATGACAATTGATCTTGGACATTAAGTGTAATAGTCATTTGCCTGTCATCACTGATTCAGAATCATGTGCAATTAGTAATTGGTCACTTGTAGGGAAATTGGTAATTATTGGTTAGGTTTACCCACAAACAGTCTGTCTTTCTGTTGGCAATAATGAAAGAATGAGACTAAAAAAGTGTTGGAGCACCACACTAAATGCCTAATTCCAATATCTTCTGGACAAGGCGCTTGAATGATTGAATGCTAAAATCTCACCTTTTTACCTACCATAATGCACTTTTAGAGGCCTTATTTATCTGTTTACAATGATATATTTAAGATTATGAATGAAAAATGTAAAAATCACAGCGAAAAAAGCTATATTTTTCTATTTTATGATCATAATTTCTGCTAGTGTCTGCAGGTACTGCTCCAACACTGTAGTGTGTAAAATCCAAAATGAAAATAGATAGGGTGCCATCTAACTGGAAACAGAACAAAAAAATTAAATAGAAATGGCCCTTTATCCCATTTTGGTTGCATATCTGTACTTATGAAAGGCTACTTATATGGCTACAGGAACAATAGGTTATTGTACTTTCTCTTTCATGTCATTCATTCCATAATTTGATATGTGGCTATTTTCCTTTTTTCGACGCTAACAAGAACAATAGAGAGAACAATTAAATAGCCAGATGCTGTATAGTTAGAACTTCTATCTGTCTGTTAGTTAGTCCATCCCTCCATTTTCACGAAAATGGATCATTACACTGTGATTGTAATTGATAAATTGAACTTAGATTTAATATTAATGAAATTTTGATCAAGTTTACATTTTAATATGACTTTGTTGACATTGAAGGCAGAGCTTAATGTACTGTGAGTAATTTTATGTTTCCTCTGTATGTTTTCTATTTGTATCATGTATATTTCTTTGCTTTGAAAATGTTTATATTACAGAGATTATACATCACATGCTCTACAATTTAAAATGGTTGAAAGTTTGTTTCTACTTGTTGGTTAAAGGATCAGTGTAATTATTCTGAAACAGGAGACTATTACCTTGTCTTTCTGCTTCATCGTTTTCAAATATAAAACACTGCAATGTTGGTTGTTTATTGCATTACCTTTATTATGGTCATATGACAATTTTCCATCTTTAACTGATGAGGGTTGAACCAAATTTTCTACCACACATTATTTTAGGCACATAAGTGTTAGGTATGACTGAATGAGAGGGTAGATAAAGTTGGCTCGATAAACACCATATATTTTAATGAGGAAACATCTGAGCAGAATAATTATTACAGTCAATTTAAAACATAATGTATTATGTCTGTAAGCCAATAGTAGATATTTTAATTCATCAGATTCATCATAATTTTTCATTCAAATGTTTTTGGTGTTTTTTTATTATCTTCAGTAAATATTTTCTGCATTCTTTAATTATATGTTCATGACATTGCTATCTCAAAATCTTTTGTGCATTCAATGTTATTTTCAGCTCACTTGAGAACAAAGTCCTCACAAAGTTGAGCATTTGTGATAGAATGAAGTCAGTTTTGCTTCGTACATTATCCCAAGATATAGTTTTAAACAACATCTCTTCCTTATATTAACCACATTGCAGACATAAGTAATCATTTGACCCCCCTCCCCCCACGTCTTCATGTTGGAAAGCATATGGTTTGAATTTTATTTGTAAATGATATTTCTGACCATTTAACAAAATGACAAGGGTTACTTATCAGAATATCCTAATTACCTGTTTTTAGTCCCCTACCGGTTAAACTGTTTCTGGTACCGAACTTTTACTGTTTGCCAGTAGTTATACTTGTTTAACAATGGTTCTCAGGTGAGCAATGTGTCACCATCTTAGCCCTCTTTTCTATATATATTTATGCAAGGGTGATTTAGTACCATTTAAGTATGCTTTAACTAACCATTCAAAGCTTTCCATGTCCATATTCTAAAATATCAAAACACATGGTGGGATAAAATTCTTCTTAAAAAATTGAAATTTTACAGAAAATAGTTGAGAAAAATTTATCTTGAATGTTTAAGACAGATGAATGCAGCCTTGCAATCTTAATACAGATCACAATTCAGAACAGAGATTTATCTTGACCCTTTATACATTTGTCTAAAACATTAGAAACAATAGAAAATGGCTTTTTTGTCGATTTGGACTGTATTGAATAAATCACAAAATGATAAGTCAATATTATATAATCATTACAGATTTTTGCATTTATTCTTTCTGATTACAGTGTCAGCAAAGGATTTTGTACGGAGAAGTGTCCATAGACTGTCTGGTCGTCAGTTCCAATTCCAACGCAAGCATTTAAAAGAAGAAAAAGCAAGTCCACCAATTACTGTAAAAGGGAAGTCAGAACAATTGTCACCAGACAGCAGTATTGTGTTTGGTGAGGTAAATCCTGCTTTTATGAGTGATGAACCCTCAACTCCACAGCCAACCCCACCTGTTGATAGACGTTATACAGAATTTCCTACACGTCAAGTTCCTCAGGTACCAGTCTCAGTTTCTGCCACAGAAATTCAGCTACACGAGAAAAAAAATCAACAAGAACAAAACCTGAAGCTCACTGTCCCTGAAAGCGGAAATAAACGTTATGAAAATTTGTCGGATATTAAATCCCGGAGAGAATCTCCTCATAATTTTGATGTGTATGATAGAGCAAGTACTATTGGTAGTTTTGAGAAAGCTAGTACGATGAGCGAGATATCTGATGCTACAAGTACGTCAGGTTATAGTGACTATACTGGTGACACTCCAGCTAATCTACCACCTAGTGAAATGATTTCAAAAGATGTTTTACGGCATGGCCATCATCGACATAAAGTTAGGTCACGACCTAGATCTCGTGCATCCACAGCAGATCCTCCAAAACTTATTGTTGCTCCAGAAACTCCGGAGGGTCAAATAAATTATGCTATGGAAAGGAGTAGACTTAGTATTAGCAGTTTATCAAGCATGTCAAGTGAAGCGACACATAAAAGTGATAGTACGCAGCGCAGCGGTGAACTCACAAAATCGGATGTTCTTCGTGCGAGGTATGAACATGTTATGGGTTATCATGGTGAACCTGTAGGCAGGTTATCAAGATTCGATCACTTAAATAGGGTGGAAGGCTTATCATATGTTGACATTAAAAGACAACTTGATGCAGATATGAGCAGAAGAGAGGCTCGAGAGCGGAAATTGCAACTTGAACAAGAAAATGAAGGCCCATATGAAAATGAAAAGGCTAAGAAACATAGAATGAGGCAGGTAGAAAGTTTAGATAGTGGTATTGATGCTGAAAATACAACTGTTGATAGAAATAGTGAAGGTAGGATTCACATTGTACGAGCACGATCAGCTGATCAACTTGACAGAAATTTGACTGTTAATTTTAGTTCCAAAGAGGCTACTGTCTAATTTTTAATTATTCTTTTACATTAATAAAGAAGTATTTGGTTCATTTATAATGAATATAATGAAAGAGTTGAAAAAGAACAAATATGGACTGTTACAATGTTTGGCTTTAAGTCTAACTGCAGTCACTTGTACACAGGGGATAATGTCTTTTTATTGTTAAATAATAGGGTATATTATATTGGAAACACTGGGTAGCTTCTACATTGTAAATGATCATTTTAATGTATATAAGAACATGCTTCAAACATATCAAATAAACAAGATCTGATACTGCTGTAATATATGTCACTATAGTACAAGTATTACTGTTAGGCATCATTGTTGGATAGATTTTGTTTCCTTTTTAGAAAATGATTGCAAACTGTTACATTATTTTCTGTTCATTTGGACTTTGTATTTTTCTAGTCTTTATAGCACACTTATAAAGTCAGTGCAAGCTACATTCTCCCAAGTTAAATTAAAAAATAATATCAGAAGTTTGGTAGTATAAGGTCAGTTGACAGATCAGCAACATAGATATGGATCTATTGGATGTATGGCATATATAGATGTTATTTGTAAGGGTCGTAATACCTTAAAAATTTAATAAAAAAGAATACAAAAAATAGTATGTATTTTATGTACGCAAATGACTTAGTTTTTATTCTTTGGGGCAATTTTTATTTATTAATTTCCACACAGGAAGAAGAGGTGTTACAACTGTTATTGTATATATTTACTTTATTGTTTAGACTTGTTTGTAATGCCCACCTTTTAAAGAGATATTTGTTATTTTTCTTACTCTAAATTGTTTTAATACCATTCTTGTGTGTCAGCAGGTCTGTATTTCTTTATGTCAGCAGTTTTATAAAACACTATTGCTTTATGTCTGCAGTTTTATATAACACTATTCCTTTATGTCAGCAGTATCATATAACCCTATTCTTTTATGTCAGCAGTTTTATATAACCTTATTTTTTTATGTCAGCAGTTTTATATAACCCTATTCTTTTATGTCAGCAGTTTTATATAACACTATTCCTTTATGTCAGCAGAATCATATAACATGGCAGTTTTATATAACCTTATTCCTTTATGTCAGCAGTTTTATATAACCCTATTCCTTTATGTCAGCAGTTTTATATAACACTATTCCTTTATGTCAGGAATCATATAACATGGCAGTTTTATATAACACTATTCCTTTATGTCGGCAGTTTTATATAACACAATTCCTTTATGTTAGCAAGTCTGTATAACAATTTTGCACTATAGCTCCTCTGATATTGTTAGGTTTAGATTTTTATCTCCCCAAATTAATAGATTGAAAGTACATATTGTTATTGGTTTGTCTGTCTTGTTTGGTTGTCAGAACACTTTAAGGTTGATGATAATAAGGAAGTCTGACAGCCTCCTTACATCACAGGTACATTATATAATTGCTACCTTGATGGGCTCTACCTGCCAGGCCCATTTAGATGTTATAGGGTCAAAGGCCAAGGTCACAAGTGTCAAGGTCTCCACCCATTGACATGGCATTTATTCGAACATAGTGCTTGATTTATTTAGTTGTTTTTAGCTCACCTGTCACAAAGTGACAGGGTGAGCTTTTGTGATCGCTTTTCGTCTGGCGTCCAGCCATCGTCCGTCCATCGTCCATCGTCCGTCGTCCGTAAACTTTTACTTTAAATGACATCTCCTCATAAACCACTAAGCCAATTTCATCCAAACTTCACAGGAATGTTCCTTTGGTGGTCACCTTTGAAAATTGTTCAAAGAATTTAATTCCATGCAGAACTCTGGTTGCCATGGCAACCAAAAGAAAAAAACTTAAAATATCTTATTCTAAAAAACCCAAAGAGCTAGAGCTTAGATTTTTGGCATGAAACATCTTCTGGTGAGTGTCTACTAAGTTTGTTCAAATAAAAGCCCATGGGTCAAAGTTGGCCCCGCACCAGGGGGTCATTGATTTTCCCTATATGCATATAGTAAAAACTTAAAAAATCTTCTTTTAAAGAACCCAAAGAGCTAGAGCTAAGATATTTAGCATGAAACATCTTCTAATGGGTGTCTACCAAGTTTATTCAAATAAAAGCCCTGGGGTCAAAATTGGCCCCGCCCCAGGGGGTCATTGATTTTCCCTATATGCATATAGTAAAAACCTAAAATACTTCTTTTAAAGAACTCAAAGAGCTAGAGCTAAGATATTGAGCATGAAACATCTTCTAATGGATGTCTACCAAGATTGTTCAAATAAAAGCCCTGGGGTCAAAGTTGGCCCCACCCCAGGGGGTCATTGATTTTCCATTTGTACATATAGTAAAAACTTAAAAAATCTTCTTTTAAAGAACCCAAAGAGCTAGAGCTAAGATATTTAGCATGAAACATCTTCTAATGGGTGTCTACCAAGTTTGTTCAAATAAAAGCCCTGGGGTCAAAATTTGCCCGACCCTGGGGGTCATTGATTTTCCAAATTTCCTTATATGTGTATAGGAAAAACTTAAAAAATCTTCTTTTAAAAAACCCGAATAGCTAGAGTTTAGATATTAAGCATGAAACATTTTCTAGTAAGTGTCTACAAAGATTGTTCAAATAAAAGCCCTGGGGTCAAAACTGGCCCTGCCCCAGATGTGTCATTGTTTTTAACTGTATGTGTAAAGAAAAAACTCAGAAAAATCTTCTTCTAAAAATCCCAACGAGCTAGACCTTAGATGTTTAGCATAAAACATCTTCTAATGGTTGTCTACAAAGTTTGTTCAAATAAAAGCCCCGGTCTTTAAACTGGCCCTGCTCCGGGGGCCTATGTACAGGTGAGCGACTTCAGGGCCATCATGGCCCTCTTGTTTTATTTCTTAAAGGAAATTAGAATATTCCCTGCTTTTTATGAACTTCACCAGATCAAAATGTAAAATTTGAGAAATAAGAAATCAAATCAGCTACTTGTGTTATTTACATACATGTACATCGAATAAGATGGTAAATTTAGCAGTATTTGATATTATATTGTCTGCTTTATATAAATAATGTGACAGCTTTCACTCTAATGTGAGCATTGTTTTGACAGAATTGAATAAAACAGATTTATTATAAATGCTTCATGTTAATGTGAAATGCAATACTATATGAGGCATTGTCTTGAATAATTGTTTACAGAATATTTATCTGAATTGTCTTAAGTTTTTGTAATTGGTAAACTATAACATGTTTTCAGTGTAATTTTATTTTTGCATTCTTAATGACTATGTTGTTAATTGTTGTTTTAAAGTTGCTAATAATTAAAAAGAATCACAATTAATTAATAGAGAGATTAAGCAATGTTTGGAGTATTTTCAAACTTGTATTGGAACTAACCTGTCTCAGTATCAGCTTACTTATGTCAATACTGTCATTAATCACACTTATAATCAAACAATTTTTTGTGTATTTTGTAGCTTTTAGTTTACATATAGAGCCAGTGCTTTTTAGGAGTGCAGATCTTTTCTGATTTGTGAAAGACAGGCATGGTTTTTTTCTCGTCACTGTAAAGTTTTAGTGTTATTATCCTTAAAGTTGTGATAGAGAAAGCACAATATTTACATAATTTTTACGAATGACTTTTCGTTTATTTGATTACACTACTTTAATTTACTTGTACTAGTATTTGATAAGAACAAAACATTTTAGATTTTTTAACATAACTGCTTATAGCTTGGAATGTTTTAGGAAAAGAGGTGACTTTCCCATTTCTCAAATGAAGCTTTGAAATTTTGTTTTAAATTACTGCTTTGTGGTAGTAATCAATTGTGAAACTGGCATATCTTTCAATTGTTAAACTAGTTTTGGAATTGTGAAGGTGCCTTTATAAGGTCCCTGTTAAATACTGAAAAAAGTGCAAAATGCTGTTTGGTCTAATGTATTCTCAAGACACTGGGTGCGTTTATGTGAATTAAATTAAAATTGTTTTCTTATATTGACAAAAGTATTACTGTAAACATTTGCACTGCTGTGATTTCTGTGAGATGATGTTTTCATTGTGTGGTATACCTTACATGACCGCTGTAAATTTCTGGTGACTATATTTACAAGTTATTTGTGTTGTTCATTTAGTGTAATGATGTTAACAGGTTGCCTTTGATAATGATTTCTTATATGTTTATGTATTTGACATTGTTATGAACATTAATTTTATATATATCAAGTTGATTATTATATCATTGACATCAACAGAGTTATATTCTAGACATGATGCATTGATAATAAAGTGCTAGATTACACAATTATTTCTAGATGGATTGATAATAAACATTTAAAAATAACATTAGATACCCACCAGAGCTGCAAGTAGAAATTGAACGACATTTGCTAAACTCTAATAACTCTGAATCTTTATTTGTTGTATTGTACAAAGTTAGTTAAAATTGATGATTTAGCCCACTGAACAAGATGGACCTCTGGACCTAAAAGAGAAAAAAGCTGTTTACAAGGTTGATGACATTTATAACATGATATTCTTGCCTGTTTCTCAGGCGAGCACTCCAGGGCCTCTAGGCCCTCTTGTTTTTATAATAAATATGTATTTACATATATGTTTACATATCACACTTAACATATCAGTATGTTGTTTGACTCTTTACATTGAATGTATGTTTTGCAAGTTGCACTCTTTGATTTGGATTAATAACTTAGTACTTTTATTATTGTGTTACAGAAATTGTAATTTCTGATTTTTTAGTGTAAATAGAGGATATTCAAGTTTTTTCTATAAATACATGATTTATTTTCATCGAGTGGTATGAAAATAAATATTTCATGAGTGGCGGTAGCCACGAGTGAAATATGGTAATTTTCATGCCACAAGATGAAAATAAATCATGTATTTATAGAAAAAACTTGAATTTTCTGTTTATTATATACATTTTTCTCTTTTTTGACATTAAAATTTAAAAGACTTTCCCTTAAATTTTGTGTACTGGCAGAATTTAAAAGAAAGTAGTCCGGCAAGACACCAGTGAAAATACGGAAAATATGTTTCACTGCAGTGAAAAATAAATTTTTACAGTGAAAATATGGAAAATGAAAATAAGCATTTTATTTCATCAATATTTCTCAATATTTCATTTATAAGTATATAATAAACCTTTTTACTTTTTAATCATATTAATTGTTTTGTAAGAGTTACCTTAAAGATCACATACTTATGATATCACTTCCGTTTCTTGCCATTGTTTACAAGAATCATTTTTGCTACAAAGTGTTTCATGTAGGAAAATAAATATCCCTATAAGTTTAATGAAAAAATGTCTAAAATGGCATTAAATTCAGTAATTGACAGTAGAAGCATATTTCAGCTAGACTTTTTAAAAAAAGCATACTTCAGCTACTTTTTTTAAAAATTAAAACATGTTGCAATGGTATTATCCATATTTTATTTAAATCCATGTAGGCAGATGGTTGTGTTGATTGTGCAGGCCTCGACATTAGCGGTGGTCCGTTGGTCCGAGACCACCTGATTTTGGCAAGGACCACCTAATTTTAAAATGCACTGGTCCGTCGGACC